TTTAATGTTTCATTTGATTTTAACCTTCATACGGATATGTTAACAATATCTAGTTAGTGTCCAATGTGTGTTTGTCTATATGCATGTGTGCTATATACATACATGCATAAACCATAGGCATTGTTCTGTCCCAGCCTACGTGAGTCCTTGTTAAGCTCACAAGGAGAAACCCCTCTTCCAACAAGCAGGCTGGAACCACAGGAAAAAAAACAATCCCCTTTTATTATTTACAGACTTGAGTCAATGTCCAAGGGCAAACAAAACACAGTTCACTGAAACTTGATTCCTTAACACAAACGGTTGCCTTCAGTAACCAGCACCTCCCATACCTTCCCTTTTATTATGCAGCCAAAGTGTGGCTTCCTAATGCCTTCTCCTTTGCCTTTGGAGCCGCCCCATTGCATTCCTCTGTCTGACTCTCTTGCTGGAGTTTACATGCTTCCTGGATATCTGCCAGCTGTGAGTTATCACTGTCCAACTCAGACTCCCAGCACAGGTGTCTCAGCCTGAGCGCGAGTAGAGGGGCCAGGCTACTCCTCAGATTGTAAGTTTTGGAGCTCATCAGAGCCTTCCTCCTCCTCTGATGTCTCTCCAGGCCCTCCTCCTCCTCCTCTGATTCCCCAGACTCAGCTGCCGGGTCCACTGGCTGACAAGGAATCACAACAGGCATTGATAAGGGAGGCAGGTGTCCAAACATGCCCATGCACACAAACATCTATTAAAATGCCTTAATTATCCTCCATATAGAAGAGCAAGCCAGAAGAAAAGTAATTAAAAGAACAAACGGACTCAGACAGAACTCAACAGCAAAACGTCTTTCCTATTCTTACTGTATAAAGGAATATATATATTTTTCTATAAAATATAGGAATATAGAAAATACAAAAGAATATTTGTAGCTCAGGGTTGAACTGTGGAGTCCTTGGTACTCTCTGAACTTGGTTTTTTTCTTGCAGATGTTTCATTATCCAGGTTGGTGTCATCATGAGTGTTGGCCAAGATGTTTCAGTAATCACACAGAATTACTGTATGTAAACTGGAACTCTGTATAGTTGTCAACCTTTTTCTGATGTAATTTTATATTTCCAGTTTTATTTCTTGCCATCTAATAAAAATGATAGCAAACAATGACTTCTGTCCCTGACCAACCCCCTCCTCCCCCCCCGATTTCACCTTTTTGATGACCACCCAAAAATAGAAAAAAATCCCCTTCATCCTTAAAATGGAATAACATGAAATGAAGTCAAGAGCGCAAGTCTGTTTCATTTGCAATTTTAGTTCAATAAAATTGTTGGTTATTCTCTGCACTAGGAAAAGTTCATTAGCACTTTCCTAACTAACCCACTCCTCCCAAAATATATGGCATTTGTAGTACAATATTATTGAATGATTTATTTATCGGAAATGAAAGGCCCTGGAACTAATAGACATGTTCCTAGTATGGATCAGGTCCCACTGACTTTTGAAGAAGGAATAGATAAAAAAATAAAGGCATAAATATGTATTCTGATTTTAAATTATACAGCTGAATAAATTAAGTAGGAGGTATTCACCAGTACCTTCTTAAACATGCACAAAATTAATTCTTTGGATATAACTTTATGAGTATTGTGGTCAAGACAATTTGCTTTCTATTAGAGAAAAACTAATGGGAGCAGAAGGAGAATTACAGGGTTGTGCAAAGCTCTGATTCTTCACTTTGATGAAGAGTCACAAGAAACTTTGAATCTGCTTTGCAAAACCATGCAGAATCCACACTTCTACATCTGAAGTAGACCCTTTGCTTCTCCTTGAGTTATATTCCATCAGTTTTAGTAGAAGCAGAGGCATCTACTCAGCTCCCCTCAGTGCCAGATGAGGTTTTTATGGAGGTGCAGATTACCTCATCATGGGCCACTGTGTTGACTCAGTGGTATGAATATTATAGCCTAGGCATAATTAAACCAAAACAAGACAGAAAAAGAAATAAAAAAGAGAAAAGACTATGAAGGTGAGGAAAATATAGATCAGATTCTTTATTTTTGAGGAGAAATCTGGCTGATCAGCAGCAACGTTTCAAGCTGTTAGCTTTGATTTCACTTCCTGAAGGCAACAGCTCACATTACTATGGAGGCATATAATTGCAAAGGAGTGCTTGGTTGAGTTAAATGCAGTTAACTTGTTTCCAATTTTCTTGTCCATGGGAAAAAAAGCAGTCTCCAGTTGGATATAATGAAAGCCGCCATGAACTTTGCTTTTCGCAGTTTACTTAACCTGCCTTTTGAGATGTGTTTTTTTTCATGGGAGAGGAAAACACATATCCTACAGGCATTGCTAACTACGTAAAGGAGAAAATTAGAATAACATTGCGGTAGCATCCATTTTTCATACTGGTCTGTACCAGAAATCTGACTCATTTAGCAGAAAAGCTGAAAGAATGTAAATAACCATCCCAGATACGTGAAATAATTTGATAGATTTGTAGGAGTTGCTGACTGACAATTCCAGTTGGCCACAATGACTGACAAAACTGTCAATTGCCTTTTAATATCTTTCCTGGGGAGGCAAACACACTGTACTTGGGGCTTGGAATGGGACAACTCACCACCGCCAACTCAACAGAGATAACTTGTTGTGAGATAATTTAACAATTCAATTTAATTATTTAAAATAAATTAAAAATTATTTTAATTTTTGTCGTTCACATTTCATTCTGTCCCTCCTTTTTCACCCTTTCTTTAATGATTCTATCCCACCATTTCTTTGATATTAATGTAACTCTTGTTCCGCAGTGAATTGTCCCATGATGAGTTGGCCATGGCAAGTTGGGTTGGCAAATTGACTATGGTGAGTTGGCCATGGCAAGTTGGCTGCGGTAAATAGTCATAGATCCCCTGTGGCTACCACAATAGTTTGCAAAATAAAAAAAATGGCAATGGATGAAAATTAAGATCAGGAACTTGAATCACAACATAATAACTATAATATGCATTCCAAAATAAGAGTAATTTCAGAGTAAAGTCAGAGAATATCCGGATGGTCTGAAACTATTTAGCTAAATCATATATATATATATTTGGCCACCCAAATGCTGGCTAATAACTGTCATCTCAATCTGAATGACTCATTCCTGAAGAAACTTTGAGGCCATCTTGATGTAAATTAATGTTGTGGGGCCTTCCTATGTTGGGCTAAAGTCTAACAATATACTTTTTCTCAGTTCATTTCATTTTTAGCAAGAACTTAACAGAACAAATTGTAAGAGGTTCAAGAAAGTAAAACAAGAAAATGCATAAGATTGCAGACCGTTTTTATAAATCTAAGAATGAATATAATCCCACACCAATATAGGCATAGCCTTACCTAATTTAGAGCACAATAGGGATAGATAGGATAGGGGAGGACAGATGAGGAAGATCCTACATTTTCTCTATGATCACCCCCTTCCTCTTTGAGGTTGATCTTTTCATGTATGAAATCATGGCATATATATGTACTTAGGAAATGTATTTTCAAAAGTTCTCGCTGCTATTTTTGATTACAGAGCTAACTAACTGTGAAGAACATTTTTGGGGTTTTACAATAGGGAATCTAACTCAAAGTGTTTTTCACCTTTTAGATTCTTATACTAGCTTAATGCTGCCAGGACAGTGGTGGTGAACCTATGGCACGCATGCTAGAGGTGGCACTCAGAGCCCTCTCTGTGGGCACACGCACCATGCCACGGAGATGGCAACTCTCCCTCTTCAACCAGCCACCTGCTAACTGGTCGAGGTCTCACATGGCCGGATGTATCCCAGCACCCATGCGTTCACTGGCCTCTGTGTGCAGGGGCTGATGGTGTCAGGCAGCAGCTGCCCTGGCCCCTGCCTCACCTTTCCCTGTGACAATGGCACCCCCACCCTGCCTTGCTTTGCCTCACCTCACCCTGCATGATGAGCCTCCTGCCCAACGCCCCACCTGCCAGAGACCCCCTGGATCTTCCCCAACCCTGCTTGGCCCCCACAGACGTCTCTCCTCACGAGCAACATTGAGGTGATCACACCCACATTGGCCACACCCACCCAATCTGCCATGACCACTCCACCTATGCCCATCCAGTGGGACATGCCCACCTGACATCCGGTGATAAATAAGTGGGTTTTGGGTTGCAGTTTGGGCACTCGATCTCTAAAAGGTTTGCCATCACTGCTCTAGGAGATTCTCCTTGGGTTTGTTATCTCTGTTTTGTGACACTTTTTGCATTATTTTCATTTGATTGGTTCATTTTTGTTTTATTCATTTATTTATTCATTTAGCCCTAGCTAGGAAGACAACCAACTACTCTAGTTGCTATTTTGTTGATAAGTTCTCTGGAGCCCCCATTGCTGAGGTAAGCTTGAACATGTTTCTTCCTCATGGCTAAACATATATTGAACACTGGGACTTACCCATAGACAATTCAGGATGTTAGACCCAAACAGTTCCTTGGCAGGTAAACTGGCCTCTTTCCAAAACCAGAGGTAAGGAATTTTTAAAATAAAATCTACTTTTCTGCCACACTTATTGAAGCATTTCTGCAGACTTGGAATCTTTGAAATGGGGTGAAGATTTCTTTGGAATACATTGCTTCTAAATTCTTTCCCTTTGTTTGTGTGCAGCTGAGAGCAAGTGAACCATATAGGACGCATTCTGTTCAACTAAAAACACTAACCAACTGAACACTAGGCTGCTTAAGGGGTTCCTTCCTCTAGCATGATACAGTAATAATGCTTTCCCCAAACTCTACAGTTTGCATTACTGTTTGCAACAGGGCTATACAAATAAAAAGGGCCCCTGATAACATACGTTATTCCAGTTTTATGCTTCTTCAAATTGACGTTCCAGGCGTCAGCAAAGTAAACTAATTTTCCAAAATGTAATTTTTGTCCTCTTTTATTGAAAATGCTTTTGCATAATGTGGACCGTGATCTTTTTACGGAACTGATTATGAATGTTTCCATTAATAAAAAAAATGAAAAAGTACGAAATAAACAACTTACCAGAGATTCAGTTTTCAACACCCAAAGGTATCACTGACTGGAGGATTAGAAATCCAAGACACCTCAAGATTTCCCTGTTAAAAAATTCAAAATTGTTTAAATGCCATGTATAGCCATCAAACATTAAACATCAAAAAACATCAAATATGGATTAATGCAGGATATTGTACAATACAGGTAACCTTATTAAAAAAAAAACCATACATCATCAATCTTATATAATGTTATTGAGTTTATAGTATATAAAGATAACATCAGGTATTTTTTCAATGAATACCTATAATTGTAAAATATAACAAATAAATAAATAAATACTAAGTATAGTTTAGATTATTGCATTTAGTAACCTCAAAAGATTTAGCTTCTTAGCAATATTGTTTTCTATATTATTTACCATTATTTATTTATCAATCCTTCTGTCCTTAAGACAACTTATTAATAAGTGACTGAATATTTTTTTAAAAAAAGAATGACTCAATTTTTGCTTCTTTGTAAAGCCCTATTACAATATGAAGCCTGTCAATATCTAATATATCAAATAATTCTAATGGCTTACAATATATATATATATATATATATATATATATATATATATATATATATATATAGTCAAAATCAATAGTGTTTAGGTATTCTCATAAGATCTACTATTAATACAACATATTAAATGGGTCATATGAATAATGACATATATCTTCTTGACTGTTGCATATATTTTAAATTGAAATCTACAAAGAAACTAATTTCAGATTTCCAATAATTTACAATAATTCTTTATATTATATGTGAGCAAAAAGAGGGAATAAATAAAAATTGGCAATATATTAATTATATAATTGTAAAAATTATATAGTATATGTAATAAATACACTGATATGATACTGTAGCATTATACTATACTATAAATAAAATCATGGATAAACATGACCTAAATTTTGTGATAACTGATTCTTCTACTGAAATATATTATGCTAATACACACACACAAACACACCCATGCCATAATTACTCCTTAAGGCCCCAAAGATTCTTCTTGCCATTTTTTTAAAAAAGCAACACTTCTAACTCCTAAGCTCTAGGTATGTGAAATATATAATAGCTTCAAGGTCAGCTGAATTTGCTCCTCAAGGATCCATTATGTTTTCCAATTTTACTATGTTTAACTCCCACTATATCTAAGTTTTGCTACTAAATTTTATAGTAGGTGTATATACATAGTCAGCCATTCCGCCCAAAATATCTTATGTTTAGGCTGATCCAAAGAAAGTCTTGAGATAGCAGCTGTGCTTATTTGAGAAGTGAACATAGAGCAATAGTTCACTTGCAATTAAAGTGCCTCATCATAGGATTTGCACAATCCTATCATATAGGAGTTTGTTGACCATACTTGAAGTTATTTGAATGAAGAATAAATGTGGTAAAATCAGAAAGTAGGATATCCACAAAAATAAGAGTTCAACTCACTGTTTAAAGGATACTTTATATCCTTTTTATAATTCATATTCTCTTTATGCAAATGTATATAAATTAATTAGATTGTTTTGTGAATGCAGAAATAGATTTTAAAATTCAGACACCAAAAATGTTTTACATTTTAGTACATAAACTGAGCCATGTTCTATAATGAGCTACAATAAAGAGACAGCTAAGCTTGGGTTTATTAACTCAGTAATAATTATTTTGACATGGAATAGGAGTAAAAATTTGTATGGTACATTCATGCTGTCAATGCTTCCATTAAGTTATGCATAAGGTTAGTCAGGAACACTGATCATAATTAGTGATAATGAATAGCTTAAGCTAAAAAATGCATCTATCAAGACTAACATATAATTTTTTTTTGTTTGCTTTGCTTTAAAGAGCTGTGGCAATTCATCATTCACTGAAATCAGACAGGTTCGCTGGCCATAAGCAGAACGTATTTTGTAATGGTACAGTTAATAGAAGAGCTTATTCATCCCTTTGAAACTAGGAGCAAGAAATGATGATCAACTATAGGAAAACTTGCCAGAAGAAAAAAAATATATTGTAAGTTAGCCTTTATATTCTCTATGTGAAGCACAACAATTGAACCTCCACTGCCCTCTGCTCAAATACTAGAGTATGTATTGCAATGTGTGTATGACAATATTTTGCCTAATTATTTGACTGACAAAGTTGGGGTAAATGTTAGTCTTTTAGTTTGTTCATCAAAAGCAGAACAGAATCTGATCTGCCTAATTTCTGAAATAGAGGAGTAACAATGGCTGATTTTCTACTTGGGGTAACATACATTCCCAAACCATGGCTGCTTTTGTCATATTCTTCAAAAGAACACGCTTTTACAAGTCTATTACTGGAAAACAAACCTTGACTATATGCTTTCTCTCATTATAAAGGTTAGTGCAAAACAGCTATACAACTGTCCTGATTATGCAGATGCAAGCTTGTTAAGTGATTGGGTTTAGTTTTCTGGATTTACTGCCACTTCCCATCTCAGGACACCAAGACTGGTGAGAAATATATACCAGTTATGACACTGATACAAGGAACAGATGAATTTTGACATCAGAATGCTGATATCTTTGAACTGCAGCAATCTTTCTCTTGACTAATACAAGCTAGCTAACAGAACTGATGGGGGATCAAGAAAGCAGTTGAGAAACCAAGTAACAAATTTCACAGATCTGCAAAGCATGCTCTGTGAGACTTGTTACTTGGTTTCTCAACTGCTTTCTTGATCTCCCAGCAGTTCTATTAGCTAGCTTGTCTTAGTGCTACCACTCATCTTAGTTTGGGGACAAGCAGACAACTTGCCCAACGTTGCACTCATATGCTACTATAGGTAATCCTCACTTAATATCCACTCATTCAGTAACCATTCAAAGTTATAATGGCATTGAACCAAGGTGACTTACAACTGGTCCTCATAGTAATGGCCATTGGGGCATCTCCACAGTCACATGATCACAATTCAGGCACTTGGCAACTGCTTGCAATTACAACATTGCAGTATCCCATGGTCATGTGATTTCCATTAGTGACTTTCAGTACCAGCTTCCAACCAGCAAAGTCAATGGGGAAGCTGGAGTCAGAAGACTGCAGGATGTTGCAACTAAGGGTGATTTGCCTAACTGGGGCTGCTGAAACTACCATCATAAGTTGACATGATTGTGTACCTTATGACTGCATCTGATCCAAGCTATCTGTGCTCCTATCTCCTTCTCCTCAAACTCCTGTTTATCTAAAGAGAAGAGGATGGGTAAAGTAGACGACTCCATTTTGTAATCTTCTACAACTCTATATCTTTTCTACGAAACATAATCATGACAGCCTATTTGGTGTAGGAGTTACAGTACTGGGCTAGAAACTGAGACATCCTGAGTTCCCATCCCACTTAGCCACAAAGCCAGTTGGATTTACTCACTCTTAGTCTATGACAAACCAATTCTGAAATCTTGCTGAGAAAGCTGCAGGGACTTTTCCAGGTAAGAATTAACTAGGAATCAATAATGACTCATACATGTGCACAAAACCTTCATAATGACACCTTTCCCAACCTTCACAATATAAAAGCAACATCTATAAATGGGTCTTCCTGGGAATAGTGGAGGAAGACAGAATGGCTGCCAACGAGATTGCCGAGATCATGCATCAGTTTTCAATAGCCCACAAGTGCTAGGTAGATTCCATTTCTATGGATCACTTGCTATTGAATGCTGTTGGTTTTATTGGGAAAAAAATAAGTTACAATGAGTTCATTTAAGAGGTTGGGAGAAGATGAACGTAATCATTGAGTCACAGCAGAAAAAGCCATCTTGTCAAGGTATATTTGTGTTTTGCTAGAATCAAGTGGAGCAGAGACCATCAATATAAGGCTAATTCCAGGATTTTGAATGCTAAAATCAAATGCTTTCATCCACAAAGCAGAGAAACCTTCAACATTTGTGTCTATTAAGGTGTGCATTCCTGAACAACATGGGTATATTTTGCCTGGTGTGATCATTGGAAGCTGCTGGCCAAGGTCCGGACTTTCTAAATAGGTTCTGGCAGGGGAAGGGAAGGGTGAACTACTCATGTGGTCCCAAGGCTATCAGAAATTACTCTGTCTCATTCAAAAATGGTCATCTACACACACACAAAAAAAACCTTGCCATTTTAATGTCAGAACTTTGAAAAATACTGAATTATTCACTTTGTTATTGCAACTAGATTCAAGTACAGTAAGGCAATTTTGGAAAAAGTTAAAAAATGATTAAAATAATAATAAATTTGTGTGTAATTTTATTGTCTTTTTTCCAAGGATGCATGTACTTGTACAACACTTGAAATTAATTTTTGTTGTTAGTTGCCAGTTTTACAATAGCAAATATGGGAAAGCTAAAGTACAAATTTCTTTCAATCAGTGTTATTTACAGTTGTAGAAACAGCATTAGCTAAAATGTTAGCATAGTGGGAAAGAATTCCAAAGAATCTTTTAATTAAATAGTGTTGGATTTACTTTTGCTGTACATCTTTACTTACAAGTGACGTAATTATTAATAGTTTGTCACCTATACAAATGAATTTGTGTAGACACATACTGTTAAATGCATTTCTGTTTCTGATAGAAAATACAGTTTCTGTTTTCCCTTTCTTTTGTTTTAGATTTTCAATATTTTATTATAGTTATACTAAAAAGTAAACAAAATACGATTCTATCATTTTTCCTAGTCTTTAATTTTCCAATAACAATGGAAAATTAATATAATATTACAATAAGAAAATAATATTAACTTTATCAGTACTTTTAACATGTTTGGTATTCTTAAGAAGTGTTAAACTTGAGAAATATGAAATAAAAAAACTAACTACTCCAATTTCTGTATTAATTTAAACAATATATTAATATGAGATACAGTACATTATTATTTACGTCACTTTGAATGCTTCCCTTCCCATTTTTTTTAAAGAAAGGGGCATTCAGATTTATATGATTTTTTTCTTTTCTAAATATGTTTCTAACTATTTTTTCTGAAAGAACAATATGATTTTTGCATAACCTATGTGTATGTGTGTATGTGTTTATGCACGCACACAAACCATTTCTTTCCTA